TTAAATGTCCGCCGGTTCCCGCCTCCTTCTTCCCGATCTACAAACTACGTTACAGTATATATGGGATGTTTTTTATTTATTTATTTATTTTTTATTTTTTTCTGTAGTAGTTAGTGTAGGGTATCAGACCGACTCAGACAATTTAAGATTCGATCAAGAACATGGTTGAGGAGCGAGGCCGGTGGAGTGAATGATAATGAGCGACACCTGCGCCACTCACCGGTCTCAAGTCCCTCGGAGGAGCTCCGGATTGATAAAAGGAGGCAAGACTTTATAAAACCATTCGTACGCCAGAACCTGCACAAAAATCCTTTTATAAATCCCAGTCAGAGAAAGATTGTGCGTACGTGCATCTCCACCCCGTCTCCTCCCCGAAATCACCATATATGGCGCTTACAATGCCTAGTTTTACTATGCATAACCTCATCTGCATATCATTTCCATGCATATTCCCATCCACATGACACCATGTTTAACTCCATCAAAGGTACAAGACATTAAGGAGATACGGACTATAAATGCCATTTCTGCCATACAATTTACATTGCTAAAAATCATCTAGTATGTTTTAGAATAAATATATAAAAAAAATCCATAAAACAAAAATACTTCTCAGAGAAACTTTTTAGAAAATAATTAATTCATTCTTTTACACTGGCCAAATAGTAGGCTATTTTAATTGTTTTAAATAAATCAAATTTATGCAATTTTGCTGATAATGTACACATATGTTTTAGGGTATTTATATAGGCTAGTTTGGCCAACTTATATTTTGCAGTAGAAAATGCAGTTGTCTGACTCGGCGCATCACTGAAAAAATGTTAAAAAAATGAAACGTGCAAATCTTACCGTTTACTTTAAATTCTATCCTTCAAATATGTGACTATCACAGAAGGAGTCTGCCTGCATACATCAACATCTCTGTGCAGCAGTAGTTGTACAGTATTGTCATTGCACCTATTCAAACCGACCGATGGACCTTTCATCCACCGAATCCAGCAGTGTCTCCCATAATATCGAAGTGCGCATCATTTCCTTGTTCTCACTAAAAATATTTTCTCATAACGTGAGATCTGCAGTTTAGTTTAAGAAGGAATTTTTGTGCGCCTAGCACTCCTCTCTGTCATTAAAACATAGCATGCAACAGGAAAAGTCATCAAAAATATATCCACTACAAATATGTCTATTCATATAATCTTTAACTTCTGCATAATGACTTTATGTAGCCTAATCTCAGTGCTCATCTCCATTAATGAGTGTCATTTTTAATCTAATTGTTTATTTCAAAATGAAAACAGACTTTAAAATACTTCATTGTTTAGTTTACTAGAGTAAAAGTGTGCGTACGCATGGGTCAGAGTTTGCGTGCAAGTGCGCAAATTTTCCCGTCAAGTTTGTTTTTATAAAGCCCATCTTTTGCGTAGGAAGTGGCGTATGCCTCTTTCAAGGCAGGTTTTGTGCATACGCAACGGTTATAAATGAGGCCCCAGGCCTGGACTTTATTTTGTGTTTTGTGTGCGGCAGTCGTCCGCGAGGGGCTGCCGCTTTACTTTCATTTTGTGTTGGTTTATTTTATTAAAGTGTTTAAATGTTCACCGGTTCCCGCCTCCTTCTTCCCGAACTACGAACTGTGTTACATTGGCGCCGAAACCCGGGAGGAAGGAGGGACACACTG